TCGAGATGCGTATCGCATCAGCCTCAGCTATGGAGATGCACATCCCTACTCTGAAATGACGCTGGCATTGTGCTGACATCTTAGCAGCCAAATCGTTACTGAAATTTAAAAAAAAATTGCCGCTATGAATGCTGAGCGTAATCGTAAACGCCTCTGATTGGCCATTGTGGTCACGTGCTCATTGTATGTCTGTTATTTGGCTAAATGTTGTAAATATACATCATGACGCTCTTCACCGAGCGCTTGCACCGATACACATGGGAGCATGTTCTTTTTAAATGCTTCAGCTACTGGGTTTTTTAAACACTTTCAAACACTTCCATGCATTTATCGTTGTAGCCAATCACAGACATATCCGATGAGCACATGAACACAGTGGCCAATCAGAGGTGTTAACGATTCCGCTCAACAGCGGTCAAAGCGTCACAATTTAAAAATTGCGGTACCGAAGTCTGTACTTTTTTGACAACTCTACGTGCCACCTTGGCACTCATAAGATGCAGTTGATCTCAGAAGTGGTGACACCAGGGGAATAACTTTTGAAACTGAAACATGTTTTTCAGTTGATATCTCTCGTTACTACTTCAAATGGTTTCAGGGCATCAATGGAGAAACTGACTGTGAACCGATCTTCCTCACTGAAGCACAGGGAGGTCTTTCAACTGCTTGTATCCGTTTGTGTTCTGGAAACTTCAGTTGTTTCTGAACTTCTTTGAGCTTCTCTGCTGCTCTTGTGCTGTGGTGAAAGAAAGCTACAACAGTACTGCATCTGTATATGAAGGAGATCAGGCACAGCCTCAATGGAGTCTTTTAACACTAAATTTAGGATGTGTGCATACCATGGATAATGTGCCTAACCTACTTTGTGCACAGCAGCAACAATATTGGCATCATTATCTGTGATAACAGCCTGAACTTTGTGTGTTATGCCCCATTTATCAGCTCTTTTTAATTCTGAGCAAATGCTGTCCTGAAAAACGACGTGGTTTTAAGACATATGCTTACAAGTTCTCATCAATAATGAAAGTTAAATAAGCCTCTCTGGCTCTTGATTTCCACACGTCTGTTGTGAGTACAACACTGTTTGCACCATGTAGAGATTTTTTTCCGCTCTTGAGCGGCATTCATTTACTCGTTCCGTCTGGCAGATTTTGTGCGTTGGCCAACTAAGTTTCCTCGGTGTGATGCGCACAGTTCTGTGCCGTTGGCTGAAAATAGTCCTCGTCGGCTTTGTTTCGCGCGATTCGACATGTTGAATCGGTGTCGGGCCGTTGGGGAAAGAGAGAACTCTGATTGGCTGTTCAGCTTAGTGAAAGAGTCGGTGCACGAGAATAAACGCAAAACAGCCAGCAAAGAAGGGGAGAGAGGGGTTTGGTCAGAGCCTGTTCCTCGGGGATAGTGAATACCCTCTGAGAACATACTTATTCACACCATTGACCAACCCACAGATTTGGGCTGAAAGAGCCTACAATGTTGCACACGTTTGCACGTGCAACGTTGTCAAGTGCGCATTTGGCATCTGGAAACTGCGCTTTCGGTGCCTCCACAAGTCAGCAGGAGGACTGCTCATGAAGACTCAGGTCTTGCGCAGTTACGGTGGCAACATTTTACTTTTAAATGCAAATGTTTTTGGTTGATTTATTTATTCTTTTTTGGATTAACTTGAGCTATCATTAGCCATTCATGATTGAATGGACTTTTCTTTTGATTCGTATTATGATGGAATTTTTAGTTTTCTGAAAAATATGAGCATCCATTAAATGTTCTGTGCGTGTTCCTGATTCTTTAAACCTTTACTCTATCATGCCATTGTGTCCATTCCATAAGTGCTATATGCAACGCCAATCATTGACATGCTTCTCTTAAGGTTGGCGAAGGAGCCTACACGTTTCTGAGGCAAAAGTTGACATATGCCCAAATTACCATGTCACATTGCTGATTCATCTTCATTCATTCATTGGGCATTGAACGCATGTCACATGGTTGTCAAAGGATTCCCTTTCCACTGCTTTGCCTCATGTATACCCTTACGTGTCATCAAACACACAGATAATAGATAATAAATATATATGCAGCCTCTTCAAACAAGCCTTTAAATCTGAATGTGCGCTTAGATTGATGCAGCTTAATTTCCTTGTGGATAAATAAGGCATCTCATAGATAGAGCAAGATTTTATGCGTAGGTTTCTAATGGCAATAGAGAATCAGTTGTTGACTCATTAAGAATGACAGAATGACATACAAACTTGTTAACCTGGAACATGAGGCCTGTTCAGCATCACCTCTTCCAATGTCAATCTCCCCCGAGGGATTCCATGTGAGACTGTGTCTGCCATTATCGCAAGTGCCTTCTCCTCATGTGCTGTTAAGGGTTGCACCGAACTGGTTATCACACCTGTCCTCGCCGGGTCTCTACGGACAGCAGAACCTCTCAGAACCTTTTCCTGACGTCCTGCCAGGACCTTGGTGTGCCTGATCTGGAGGCAGCCATCTTCCTAACTATGTTGCTCCATAGCTCTTTTTTGTTGCTGTTGCACAAGATATTCCGAAAGCTGGAAAACAATGTCACCTTGTGCAAGCTCACCTCCTCTGACAAGAAGCTGTGTGTGTGTAACAGAGACATGCTGGCACGATCGAACAGTGGAGACATAAAAACATACTCCGTCATTTTGTTAATACAGGACATCATTCAGTCATATAAGTGTTTACTTATATTTGTGTAGGCCTATACTCGCAATAAAACACAACATTGTGCTTTTGTCACACTGTATTTCTTGTCAAACTGTCACACACAACACACACACACACACACACACACACACACACACAGTTTTAAAAGCAAAACAAATTTATCCAACTCCTTTTTAAAACAGTCTATGTGTTCCATCTTTTGGACATTCATCATATGCATTGGTTTTCATTTCTTGTCCTCAAAACAGAGCACTAATCTGATTATTTTTTAAGTTACACATTGATTAAAAAATCAATTATTTATAATTCTGATGAGAATAAAGATAGGGGTAAATAAAATGAAGGAAAACAAATATATTGATCTGCAATATAGCAAATTAATTTTAAATTCATTCAGGGACAATTACCAAATACATCTCTAGGTCTTTTTATATTTTTATTAGTTTAATTAATAAACTAATTATATACAACTATTATCAGTGCACTATAAAAAAAAACTGGTCCTATGCATTTATTAATAAAACTTATTTGAAAAATACAAGGCTTAAGACATTTATAAAAATGCCTTCTATATTTCTGTTTTGCTTTTCACTCCATTGAACCGAAATCATACCAGACTGTGATGTCTGAACCGAACCGTGACTTCTGTGTACCATTCCACCCCTAGTGTTTTCGTCATACTATGAATTACGTTAAGCTATGGTAAAAGTGGTACCACCAGACCTGGAGATCACTGAATGGTTTCCTCAACGGTAAAAAACAATTGGTTTACTCGAGGGGAGGTGGAAAATGAGCTTAATTCCCCAAATGGTGGAATATCCCTGTGTCGTTAGCTGGGTGCTCTGCCCTGACATACAGTGCATGTGTAAGATACAAACCTCTGGGTTGGCACACAAAGATTTTGGATAAGTATGCTTTTTTTTTGTTAAGTCACGCTCAGAATGTGTCATTTGCATATTAAAATCACACAAAAAAAATAGAGCAGGGGGCACGTACGACCACAAACCCCTGCGCCCACCCGTCTCACCATGCCATGGTCACCTTTTTTACTCTGAGGTGTTTGCAGGTCTGATTGTGAATTTAGACTTTTGTTTACATTTTAATTATTTGAGTTTTACATGGTTGTGATGACATTTCTGTCTTGGCATTATAATCCGAGTTTAAAATAAAAATGTTTAAATGTAATATATTTTTCTCCTGATCTTTATTTTAAATGGGTCATAAAAAATTAATAATTATCGAAATCGACTGATATGCTACAGTACATCGCCCAGTCTTACATCTTAGTGCGCTAAGAGTAGGGCTGTGCGATATGGACAAAAAAAACTTATCACGATTTCTTGATTTTTTTTCTGATTTCGATTTTAATCACGATTTTTACACAAACAGACATGCTTTACAGTTTTAATGCATTCTGTGTGAATTTAAAACATAGTTAACAAGTTAACACGTCTCTAGAACAGACATTTGGCCAAAATAAATAAATTAACGTGGGTAATTAAACCAACAAAATAAAAAAACAGACTAAAGTCTCCAAAATAACTACAATTAGAAGAACAGTGGCAGAATCTAGCTGCTTTAAATGTTTAAAGGTTTTCTGCTAAGAAAACCAGCATGTCCACCATTTCTGGTTTCAAGCATGAACGTTGGCATGTCACCACATTCCCTCCAGTGCTAAACACCCTCTCAGATGGTGAGCTTGTAGCTGGAATGCACAGATATTTTTGAGCAGGCTTGCTCAATCTTGGGAAGTTAATTTGATGTAGTTTCCACCATTGAAGAGGATCTTCCTCACTGTCAATATAGGGAGTAAGCAGGTAGCTGTTCATCTCAGAGGCAATGGCTTCTTCAAGCTCCAGAGATGCTGGCATGGCTGAGACACTCTTAAAAAAGCTTCCCAGAGACTAATTTTGTTTTTTTTGCTGATGAAGGTAGATCACGCAGATTGCTACATTCTGTCTCCCTGTGATGCTCTCAGAATTCACTGCATCCTATGAGAACACAACAGAAAAATATTAAACCATAATTATACATATTATTGAACTGTGACACTACCAGTCAATTTACCCATACACCATCTCACCTTGTGTGATACTTCTTTCATATCAGACATCACCTTGGCCTTGATGTTTGGAAGTTTGTCTACAGCAATGTAATTTCTCTTGAATCTTGGATCTAGGAATGACGCCATATCCAGCAGTTCTTGGGTCTCTTCATCATTATACTTTTTATTAATGTACTCAAGAATTTTGGATTTTATTGTGTTGGTCAGGTCAGAATCCTCATCATTCACAGCCAGTATGTTTGTGTTAAACATGAAGAACTGGCTTCAGATATGACACGCTGACATAGTCCTCGCCAGATAGGGCATCTGTAAACTCCTGCAAGGGTTTCAGTGCCTTGCTCACGGATTCAAGGACATCTGTGTCCTGCCATTGTGGAACCAGGTGTCTTGTTTTGCGATCAGCTACAAGGATCTGAGACAGAGCCTTCTGTTGTTCCAAAACTCGTTCTATCATCTGTTGCCTTGAGCCCCACCTTGTTGGACACTCTGTTATGAGTGCATGCTTTGGAAGCTTAAGTTCTTCCTGGGCTTCAGTTAATGCCGCCTTCTTCTTCCAACTATGAGAAAAATGCCCAACCAACTTTTTGCACAAACCTGTGGCTCTGGAAATGCGAGGGTCATCCTTAACTGCATTTTCTAAAATAAATAAATAAGACAAAGTGCATTTAAATAAAAAGCATTATCATTTAAATGAAAAACATAGTATACTGTACCAAACCTTTAAATAAGAGAAAACTGTGCAGTTATACACAAAAAGGATTACATTTGAAATTGCTGTTAAAACTAACTTTTTATTTCTATTTATTACTAATAATGATTACAATACTGATTACATTACTAATGATGATTGCAATTCAGTGTTTCCCGCAGACCTGCTCTATTTGTTGCGGCATATATTATCAAAATCATTCTCTCCCAGTGGGAGGCGCTGTTGGGTTGTTAGAGAGCGAGGTTTCCCTGGTAACGCTGTACACAAAGCATCGCAAAGCTGAACGCAGTCGGTTTAACGTTACTTCAGAAATATAGTGATATAAAAACACCCGCACCAGGTTTCGGTTTTGAAACGTGTAGTGCTCATGTTTATTCAACGAAGTCAAAGCCAAATAGCAAAATATATTTGTGGCGGCGGTCAGTTTTGATAGTAGTAGTAGTAAAATCTTTATTTGTCCCTTTACAGGGCAATTTAAGTTGCTTCAACCTCACAAAAACAGCAAAACATCAGACATTACACACACCAGAAAAAAAAAAAAAACACAAAACCCCGGGCATTTATAAATCTTCGTCTAGCTACTGTTAAAATTAAAATTCATTCACGGTGCCTTTTCTTTGTTTCAAATAAGTATTTACAGTCATCACTGCGTTTGAAACAAAAGACCTAGAGGCTTTAGTGGTCCTCCACTTGGGCACTCTATATCGCTTTCCTGAGGGAAGCAACTCAAATTCTAAAAACAAAATGTGGGATGTATGTCAATGTGGGACAAATATTGTGGGGGCGGCACAAATAAATCAGAATGGGAAACACTGCAATCATTTAGGGCTGTGTAGAATACAATAGCACCACATACTGTAGTATTCTGACCATGGATCCTATTTCAATAACTTAATTTCAATTTTAGGTGCTATTACAATGACTAAAGATTTCTAAAAATATATAAATTTTATGTGAATTACATTTTTCACAAACGAAAACAAGCAGGACACATAATCAGATGACTGTACTGATTTTCCTTTAATGCACTACATTTTCGTATTTTAAAGTAAATGAAACTGTAATGAAACTTACCGATTGCAAGATGCAGTCTATGTCCAAAGCATTGCAATCTTGTCCATTTGTTTAGAGCGATAGCCTTCACGATGTTCGATCCATTGTCAGTGGTGATTGACACTTGCTGCTCCTCACAAAGTCCCCAGGAAGCCAGAGCATCTCTCAAACCCTGAGACAGATTCTCCCCAGTGTGGTCATCAGGGAAATATGACGTTTGCAAGAATCGGCTTTTCATTTCGAAATCGTCATTAATAAAGTGCCCTGTTAAACTTAAGTAAGGCTCCGATGTTCTGCTTGACCACATATCTGAAGTAGTTGCGTAGTATTTCACTTGTTTTAACTCCGATTCAACACTGGCCTTGCATTTGGAATACATCTCAGGGATGGCAACTCTTGAAAAATAACTTTGTGATGGCAGTTGATATCTCTTATCAAGGGTCTGTATCATTTTTTGGAAGCCGGCTTTACTGACGATATTTGCAGGCATCATATCTTTGCATAAATGATACGTGACAGCATCAGTTATTTCTTTATGCCTTTTTGAACTTCTGTCGTGGTGTGCAGCTCGCAAATGCCAGTATTATTGATTTTTGTCCTGAATGAGTTTGAGATGTACTTTGGTTCGTGTCCAGTGATTTTTTTTGCCATGCATTGGTCATAAAGCTCTGTGTGGCGCTGCCTCAGGTGTTGAAAAAGATTTGTTGTGTTCCCCTGTTTTGCCGCAATGACAGATTGACAGGTCTTGCAAATTACCTGACTCTGTGATAAATCCTCTCTCCTGTATCCAAAGTAATCCCACACCACAGATGTTGATTTTTTTTTTTGGGCACCAACAAGTCCTTATCCTGTCCTGAACTCATCTTCCCTGGTTTTGATGAATATCTGTCGTTCGTTATGCCCACTCTGTTCTGAGCTCGCGCTCAAATTTAGGCGCGCTGCATTCAGATTGGTTCAGATAGCATACTGGGGAGGTGGAGCCGGGAGCGCGGAAAAAATCGTGCTATGAAGAGATTTAGAAATCGCGCATGCTCAAACCGCAATTTTATTATGATTTAGATTAATCGCACAGCCCTAGCTAAGAGTGTGCTTTATCGGGGAAATGCCGGGCCCAGATTTGACATGTTGACTTCTGTTGTTACATTTGACTTCATGTTGTTAAACTTTTTTAGGGCCCAAGCCCTGAAAGGGCGAAGGCCCTATT